TTATATTTGTTGCATTTCTTGGGTTGTTTGTATTTCTTACATCTCTTGCTTGTTGACGTATGTTGATCAAAGAAAGTATAAATAAATTTAGAAAAGACTTAAAACTGTATATCATGGATAAAATGGTCTGTATTTCAAGAGAGTAGCATTTAACTTACAAAAGGTCTGATAATCTGCCACGAGCTCTCCACTTGTTGGTAGGAGTACTCAGCCATCAATAGTATTTCATGTTAAATCATGTATGTGATAAGAGTTCTGTAAATGTTATAAAATAAGAAGATACTCGAAGAGTCCAATCCAAATACATCGCAACGATTTTTATGGCTAATGAGTTTGAATAAAGGGTGAAAGGTAAATAAATTTTATTGCAATGATTTTGTCAAAAATTATAATTCTAATTATTATGTTTATTCGTAGACTATTATATCTGTTAATTAATTTTTTTAATAACTTTTCTTGTTATGTAAGGTTTAATTATGTTGTTTCGTTCACCAAAGCTATAGTGATTTAAAGAAATATCTTACTTCTGTAGATAAGTAGAAATGGCAACAAATGTAGACAATACCAGTGTGAACACATCACGGACACCAACAAGATTAACTGAATTGATTCATTCATTGTCAAGTTATTCGTTAGATAATCATTCATGTAGAATATTTTCACATGAAATACAGAAGTTATCGATGTCATCTTCCTCTTTGAAATCATTACCGATTTATTCTACTCATTTAACCCATTCTCAACTATTGGATTCTATATCATCTATAAAAATTTGTCTAACATTACCAACAACTCAATTGTCATTCGAATTGTATCACTATTCAATTGGATATTATCTATTACTTTTATCATTGCATACTCATAAATTATTTGTTGAGGAAGTAATAAAAAATACTCATAAACTAAAAAAACATATTGAATATTGGAAATCTAATCTAAAACCTCCGATCTCTTCACTATATCATCAAATAACCACAACTTATTTATTCGATAAGGAAACTGATGATATATTGCCGTCGGAAAAACTAAAATATTTAACAACATATGAGTCAAAATGGATGAATTCAATCGGAAAATTATGTTATTCGATATCGATATTACACAAATATTTATTATCATCATTGCCAAAGAATATGTTTAGTACAGCATTAGATACAGTTGAAATATACACAAATTATTTATACTTTTTGATCTTCGATGATACACTATCCACTTTGAATATACAATCATCAAATAAACTAATTGATCTAATCAATTGTTATGAACATATTTTGTTATCATTCTCAGAATTTAATCAACAATGGTTTATTAAAATTCATTTATATCGTCAACCAACACATTTAAAACGTTATTGGACATATTATACATGGGGAACATTAACATCTCTCTATCTAATCTATAAATTATATTCAAATCAAAAACAAATTTCTAATCAGTTTCAGTTATCATTTGATTCATTTAAATTTTTTTTGTCTGAACATTTAATTATTCCATTGAAAAATATCTATGAATCAACATTTCATTCAAAATCCTCACAGTTAATATTTGAAAATACACAAAAAAATTACCAAAATTCTAAATTAATACTAGAACAAATGTTAGAAAGATATGGTATAGAACATTCAAAACAATTGGCAAATATTGATGGTGTAGATGTCGATCGATTTCTGTTAAATCTACATGAACGAGCACTCAATGACGATATGAATATTGTTATGAAATATTATCAATACGAATTAGATACACCTATTCGATCGGCACTATTCGGAGATTTAGTTAAAGGTAATATAATATACAATGATAAATAGACTTGTATTAAAATTGATTTATTGTTTTAGGTATTCTTATTCAAGTACAAAAAGTAAAAGTTGATGGTGAATCATTGGCTATTCAAATTAATCAGTTGATGAAACAAAATCAAATTAATTTTAGTTTATTGGCTACTATACCCGCATTATTATTAATCACATTTATGACCATTGCCGCAAAGAATACAATTATCAATGGGATAATTAAACGTCGAAAATATGGTTATACTGACGTTTATAAACAAATTATTCGTAAATTACGACACATTGAACAATTGTTGATACTAAACACAGAATTATCAACAAAAAACAAGCAACACCTATTGACAACCACACTGAATTATGATAGTAATTATATCAAAGTTGAAGACGACGAAGAAAAATATTATGACAATTCGGTTCCGATCGATCAAAGTATAATTATTGTTGATAATACGACAATATCGGAGACAAATAATTCATTTCCAATGAATAATTTAACATTTGGTCAGTTTTTATGTTTGATTTATGAACTAAAATTTTTCACATTGCAACTGAGATCGGAGCGACTACTAGCGGATGAATTCAACCAAGATATTGATCTACTAACGGATACAACATTAACTACAAAACAAAAGCTCCTGGTAATACAACAAATATTTCATTCATACAGTTTCTTATCTAAATGAAATCTTTGTTTTGATGCTCAAATATCTGTGCTGTCCCTTTTCTATTATCAAAGCTGCTACTGTTTTTATTTTTAATAAAACATCTTTTCGTTTCTTTATAGTCTATAAACAGGCAGTCGATAAATTTATTTTTCTAAATCAAACGCACATATCAAAGATATTGAATATGTATTATACAGATGGAATAGATTTTTGACAAGTACTTCATTCGCTAGCTATTTTATGATTGTTAATTGATGGTCTATGTACAGGAATAGGCACGCACCGGTTATAATCGATGGAAATTGCACACTTGTTTTTGCAAAAAGTTTTCAACAAAAATTCATTCTTTAAAATTTTTGTAGCAACTGGGTTTTACAGAGCAAATATTTTTCTACAAGATGAACTATGGTAATGTTTTTCTTCTTGGATCTGGTACTTATAAAAAAAGATTTCTTAAAAGTTCCATGATCAGTTATAACCGATTTAGTCCTTGTCGGAAAGCGATTACGACAGAAATAGAAAACATGAAGGTTTCCGCCGCAGCTCGTTTTGTAGAAAAATATTTGCTCTGTAAAAGTCAGTTGTTATAGGGGTACTTTTCATGCAAGCCGTTTCAGAATTTTGACTAAAAAGTGTGTTGTTAACTGATAAAGACAAATAGTATGTCTACAGCAGAAATCTTCGAAGATAGAACAGTTTATCTCACCATGTATAGTGCCATTGCACCCGAATGTCGTTGCGCCCAAGTGTTGTTGCGCTGGATGATACAATAGATAAAGATCGGGTGTTTTGCATTTGGTAATGATCACTTTTAGAATTATTCAATCGAAAAAATTTATAATCAGGTCATCTTATGATCATTTTATGGCAATCTAAGCACCCTTAATCACGGATAGGGTGACGTTCATTAAGACAACTTTCATTAAAACGTGTTTTTTAATGGAAGTACCGGAACTTTCACTAAAATGTCTCGTGCAAATGGCTGTGACCTAGAGTTTCTGATGGCACAAGAATTTGCATTAAAATTTTAATGAACTTCCTTTTAATGAAAGTTTTGTTAATGGAAAATTTTTCAATGAAACTCCGATATCCCTCAGTCATATTGAGTGCTCTTGACAAAATCTTACTCACATCATACCTATTTCTTACCAGAATCTTAATATTTATAATCCTGATACGTTCCTAGCGGGATCTTAGATGTTAATATTCTACTAGGATTATGCTTAGATTTGTTGAAAATTCGGACAAAACCCTAGCAAATTCTACAATTTTTAGATAATCCTGATTCCATTAGTATTTTACAAGATTTTGTCAAGATCCTAAAAATTCCAAGCGCAATTCTAGTGAGATTGTTTTTAGAGTATGCCGACATGAGAGAAAATTCATAGGTCTCTTACTGGGATACTGAATCTCATTATTAACGGCTTGAAATATATTTTCTTTTTCTTTGCTTCGGGAGGTGATAAATTTCAAGATTTATATACAAGATTTTGCTGATTTTTAATGGGATTTGAAAAGTTCGATTTGTCGACGTTTACGTTGATTTGAATGAACTTTTAATTATATTAAGAGAAAGAGCACACTTCAACGTGCTGAGAAACATCTTCACTTTTGTTTCGTTGTCTTGAGAGTTGTTTAAAATATGCTTAAGTTGATAAAATAAAACAACTTTGAAAGTTGATCCGTTAATACATGTTGTATTTTCTTTGTTTAATTTTTTCGTTATACAAAAAACACGTCTTCTAGAGAATTTGACAACGCATCTTTTGGAAAAACAATCAGATCTAAAAGTTGAAAAGATAAAAGTTATAGTCAAAATGGGGAGAGGCTCATTTATTATGAGACACCTATTACAATATTATTATGTCAAACTTAGATTTATTAAATGTTAGTTTTAATTTTTAACTTATGTTTTGCATAGTTTTAAGCCTTGGTTATACAATATCCTCATATCGCTGCTTTTCTAGCATAGTGGATCTCAGTTGGCAGCCCTTGAACGATGTTATCGATCAAAACTTGGATTTAACTCTGCTGATATATTCATGGCTTTTTATTTGTTGGATAGTAACGTAAAATCATTTTTGTATCGATATAAATCCCATCATATTTCTCATTTGCAAGGCAAGAATGAAAGTAAACATGTTCACACATGCATGCTTTATCGTTATATGAACATTTTGTGTCGAGTAAGACATCTGCACGATAAATTGCCATACCACCAAAACATGAACGAACGCGTACAAGTTCGCTAACCGAGTTGGTAATGAAGGGCGCTAATTCTGTTGCATAACTTGATTTCATATCAAAACCATGATAATGCTTGTAGTATGTTGGTTCACACGGTTTTAATGCAAACGTATCCTGGTAATTTCCCCTTTTCGAAGTTCCCATTGCGCACAGAACATGCCAACTGTCTCCATGAACAAGTAAACGTTTACACATTGATTTAGCCACACTTTCAATATCTAAACCATCATGTGCCAATAAATCCATATCAAAATAAATAATATAATCTGGCATGAATTTTAAAGAATAATTTACGAATACAGAACTTTGTAATGATACTTTTATTGTTGTCATCAAACGTTGTCGTAAATGTGCCAATAATTTTGGTCGACCACATTTCATTTTACTTTCCATTTGCTTTGAGAATGGTACATGTAATATTTCACTAATTAACGATATTTTATTATTTGATAAACTTATTTTCTTCAAAGAACTCTCACCTCGTATATCATTTTCATAAATAATAGCATGCCAGTCATTAAATACTGATCCAAATTGAACAAACGTTTTTAAAATCATTTCTGCATTATTTAAATCCATTTGATGTGCTAATCCAGTGAATAATACCTTTTTTTTAATAGTAGTAACATTGCATATATGTTCAATTTCATCATTTTTTAAACTAATATTATATGTTAATGATGTTGATGATTGAATACACGATGATGGTTTTCGTGATAAAAATCGACCAGAAACCATTTGAGCATCATTTACTTGTTCTGTTACATCGTTTTTTAGCCAACACATATTTTTATGTAAACTCCATGAAACACATTTTTCATGTTCCCAACACGTTTTACAACAATCTTCTGGTGATTTTTCAAATGTGGTAAAAAATTCACCACCAGCAAATGATGTGTTTTTAAGAATGATACACATTTCTCGTTCATGTTGTGGTATTTTTGGACGAAAAAATAAAATATTTATGAAGGAAAGAAATGCTGCTGCAGTAGCAATAATGTAATATATATAAGAAAGACGTTTCATCTCTGTCTTGCATTCCTATGTTTAATGATCTATAGTGATTTTATATCTTTTGAATTTAAGAAAATATGAGTTTCATACAAGCGAAATAATTGAGACTTTGACATATACGTTTTAATAAAAAGAAATGAAAGATATTGTCAGACATGTATATTTCTCGCAGCATGCAATTATACGTAATTTAGTTGACAAAACCATAACTAAAACACCTACAGGAATAAAATAAATACGTTTCTGATCAAACATACTGGTCACAACAATGAAAAAAAATTATTTAAAAGAATAAAATAAATAAATTATGTCAATCATTGAAAACTACTTATTGGTCTTCAGTCTATTTCAACCATTTAATAAAAATAAAAAGACTGAAAATTAAAGTGATGAATCCATCAGACGTCAGGACAATTTTATGACTGACATGTTTTCTGAAAAATATTATTTAGTCAAATATGATAAAATGTTAAAAAACAACAACAACAGAAATTATTATAGACTCTGACGGCTTTAATAACCTTATGAAGTGAAAAATCGAAACATCAAAAAATAAGAATAAAAAACTTAAAGCTCATTGTCTAGCTTCATTCATTGAAATTGCACTCTTCTTACTGGGACAGACAAATGCTAGCTTGCTTTTCCAACGACTTAATGCTTCATATCTAAATTGATAAAAAATAAACAACAAGCTAAAGACATGTTGCTAACATCAAATAACGGGTGACGCAGAATGAATGACGATCTCAGTATTTTAAAGTTTTCTCGTGTTTCTTTAGAACCCGAAGATTAGTGTTTTTTTAAAAAGATGCGCCGCGAAATACTCCATAAAACTATACTTAAACTTTAATTTCAAAACTTCAATCAAGAAAACTATGCAAATTATACGAAAGACGAAAAAAATGAACACTTGCTAAAGGACGGTGGTCGATAAGAGGTAAAATCGGTCTCCTCATGGATCAAGCTCATATTAACCGATCTGATGTAGTTTTTGTCGGCGATTAGACTTACAAGTCCAAAGATTTTATTTTATTTTATTTAGTTCGTTCTGTTTCTTCTTATACTGTACACGTTTTTTCTTTTTGTCATTCGCCTTGAAAACGACGGAAGAATAAACAGATCGAAAGCTCGGTAAATCAGTGTAGTAGTTAACTTCACTAAAAAATGCATTTTGTTGGAGTTTTGTACTTCTTACTTGAATTTCTATTTCCCACTCCACAATCTCCTCAATTTGACTCAGAGTATTTTTATTGTTTCATCTCTTTCGCTTAGAGCAAGTATCAACTGTCATAAAGTTCAAAACAAGTGACGATACTTGGCCAGTACTCATGAAGTAGTCAAGTACTTGCATCACGAGGATAACGAAGGTGATTTTTATCTTTTATTTCCGTCCTGAAAACAACTGAATTTCATTTCGAATTAGGGAGACACTTTCCAGATTTTCAACTTCCTACGCATGCCTAAAAGCAACGATTATTGCCCAGATTCATTTAAAACAAACTTAGGCCTTAATATCTATCGCTGCAAAAAATTTTATGAATTTTAGCAAGAGTCTCCCATTTTGCCTTAGCTACGCCTATAAACCCTGACTGGTTACAGGTGATTAATAAAAATGACCACTAGTTACTATTACCAATTTGTATGATGAATTATAATTTCTAAAGGTTCATTTTGAATCAATGTAGAAAAAACTTTCTGAGGGAAGAAAACCTTTCCTTTAACAGCGTAATCATTGTCGGCATAATTGTTTCGCATAATGCTCGATTTCACAACGCATGCATCTTTGATTAGCATCATAAGTATGAAACTTAGACTCTCATGATGAAGACTATCATCTCTCAAGAACTTTAAAACGAAATGAGCTACAAATTTCTAAAACACGAAATCGTTATCATTCGGATTTTTTCACGCCGCTGACGTCGAACGAGCAGAGACTTATAAAGAATTGCAGTCTCTGTATCTTTAAGTTTTCTCTTCTTCCTCCGACTTGCTCAAGCTTATTTTTTTACCAAAACAACATTCCCCAGTCAATTCTTTACAAAACATACCTTAATAGTTTTATTGTAAATATAGGTGACGGAACCTAGTGAAGCTCAACATTTTTTCTGTTCGAAGGTAGTCTGAATTTAAGAAAAATTCTCATCCTAGTAATATGGAATGATTTTTCGCAGACTATCTCTAAGTTAAAAAGTTCTAGGATTACGAGAATGACTGAGATATCCTTCATTCATGAAAGAACTTTTTGGTTTTGAATATGTAAAACTCATAGGCCTTAATCAGAGAAAAATCTATTTTTTTCTCGAAACCTAGTAAGACTGAGCCTCAAAATCTAATGACCTGAGCCTCAAGCTTATTGAACCTCGTGGCTTCGCTGCCTATGATTATGAAATTCGAAGATGAAAAATGACATGAGAATTTATGCCAGGTATCAAAATGGATAAGAAAATAAGGTGGATAAGGATGAAGTTTGAGTAAACTACATTTCTCTTATTGAAAGTGACATCTTACTGGTAAAATAGACCTTCTCAAGTTTTCTACGATGACTACTTCAGCTTTTTTCTCTCGCAATCCATTTAAAAAATAAAATTAAAAAACACTGTTTTCTAACTCACTTTTTATCCATTTTAATACATGGATACAATTTTTCCTGTCATTTTACACGTTCGGTATTCGTAATAAACGGCTTGTCCAAGCGTGACGCTGTGACATTTTTGACACAGTAATTTGAGCTTTTCTCAAAAAGTGTTAGAAGAGCTAGAAACTTCGTTCTTGCGCCATTCGACGCAGCTCGCCATACTCTACTTTTGATATAAAAATGAAGGTATGTGGTTAAAGACTCGAATTCTTAGAACCATTTTTCG